TCCACATACCACGGGGATGGATACAGGTACTCCTCCACATACCACGGGGATGGATACAGGTACTCCTCCACATACCATGCAGATGGATACACGTACTCCTCGACATACCACGGGGATGGATACAGGTACTCCTCGAATACCATGGGGATGGATACAGGTACTCCTCGACATACCACGGGGATGGATACAGGTACTCCTCCACATACCACAGGGATGGACACAGGTACTCCTCCACATACCACGGGGATGGACACAGGTACTCCTCGACATACCACGGGGATGGATACAGGTACTCCTCCACATACCACGGGGATGGACACAGGTACTCCTCCACATACCACGGGGATGGATACAGGTACTCCTCCACATACCACGGGGATGGATACAGGTACTCCTCCACATACCACGGGGATGGATACAGGTACTCCTCCACATACCACGGGGATGGACACAGGTACTCCTCCACATACCACAGGGATGGACACAGGTACTCCTCCACATACCATGCAGATGGACACAGGTACTCCTCCACATACCACGGGGATGGATACAGGTACTCCTCCACATACCACGGGGATGGATACAGGTACTCCTCCACATACCACGGGGATGGATACAGGTACTCCTCCACATACCACGGGGATGGACACAGGTACTCCTCCACATACCACGGGGATAGATACAGGTACTCCTCCACATACCACGGGGATGGACACAGGTACTCCTCCACATACCACGGGGATGGATACAGGTACTCCTCCACATACCACGGGGATGGATACAGGTACTCCTCCACATACCATGCAGATGGATACACGTACTCCTCGACATACCACGGGGATGGATACAGGTACTCCTCGAATACCATGGGGATGGATACAGGTACTCCTCGACATACCACGGGGATGGATACAGGTACTCCTCCACATACCACAGGGATGGACACAGGTACTCCTCCACATACCACGGGGATGGACACAGGTACTCCTCGACATACCACGGGGATGGATACAGGTACTCCTCCACATACCACGGGGATGGACACAGGTACTCCTCCACATACCACGGGGATGGATACAGGTACTCCTCCACATACCACAGGGATGGACACAGGTACTCCTCCACATACCACGGGGATGGACACAGGTACTCCTCGACATACCACGGGGATGGATACAGGTACTCCTCCACATACCACAGGGATGGACACAGGTACTCCTCCACATACCACGGGGATGGACACAGGTACTCCTCCACATACCACGGGGATGGACACAGGTACTCCTCCACATACCATGGGGTCAGCATCCCCATATAGCCATCTTAAGTTGAAAATACTGTATCTTGAAAATATTTTAAGTCAAAAATGCATTTACTAATTGTACTGACTCAACATCATAGCTTAGCCTAGCCCACCTTAAACACACTCAGAACACTTACATCAGTCCACAGCTGAGCAGAGTCAACTTACACAAGCCCTAGTTATACAAAAGTGTTGAATATCTCATGTAATTTATTGAATACCGTATGCAAGTGAAAAAGAATGGTTGCGTGGATACTCAAAGTGCCATTTCTACCAAGTGTATATTGCTCTTGCACCATTGTAAGATCGAAAAATTGTAAGTCGAGGACCATCTGTATACCTAACACTACTGAACCATACACCTAAAGATGAGTGTGTTAATATTTTACCACAACTATAAAAACAGAACAGAACAGAACCCAGGTCCGCCGTGCTCAGGCCTGGACTGCCCCTTTTCCCCTTGTGCTGCTGCCCCGGGTTTTCCTTTGCTGCACAAACAGAGGTGCTGGTCCCCGGGCAGACACGCCCAGAGCCCTGTGACACCCAGGGAGGTCCCCTTTCCTCCTCGGAGGTGGCCGAAGCCAGCAGTTCAGAGAGTTCTGATGGTGCCTTTTAGTAAAATGGAGGAGTGTCAACATTTCCGTGCAGCTCAGCCAGCCCACGGCAGGGCTGTAGCAAGAGCTGCCTAGCACACTGGCATTTCCACCTCCACACCCCGCACGTGAATGCTGATACCTGGGCCTGGAGCCTGTGGCCTCTCCCATCAAGCTGTGGCCCTGCAGGGTAGGTGGGGCATGGGCAGCTGGAGTCATTTCTATCATGCCTGGACTTCTGTGGGCCCTCCAGGGACCTGGGATCCTGAAAGAGGAGGCTCTGAGCCCTGGGCAAGGGTGGGTGGCAACCAGGTGGGAGTGAAGTGAGAGGCATACAGCTTCCTAGAGATGGGAGCTTCCAGCATTGCAAATTCTCTGAGTAACATGAGCCTGTAAGCTGTGATTTTACTCACTAATGTGGCCTGGGCCCCAAGATTCCATCAGCCTGTACCCCAAGATTCCATCAGCTTGTGCCTCCAAATTCTACCAGCCTGCACCCCAAGATTCCATCAACCTGCCACCAAGATTCCATCAGCCTGTGCCTCAAGATTCCATCAGCCTGAACCCCAAGATTCCATCAACCTGCCCCCAAGATTCCATCAGCCTGCACCCCAACATTCCATCAGCCTGTGCCCCCAAATTCCGCTCGCCTGCATCCCAACATTCCATCAGCCTGTGCCCCAACATTCCATCAGCCTGTACCCCAACGTTCCATCAGCCTGCACTCAATATTCCATCAGCTTGTACCCCAAGATTCCATCAGGCTGCTCCCCAAGATTCCACCAGCCTATTCCCCAAGATTCCATCAGCCTGCTCCCCAAGATTCCATCAGCTTGTCGAGGCCAGTGCATGCATCTCAACATGCTCTCACTCTGTGCCCGGGATCCTGGGGAAGAGGCTCCCTTTGGAGAAAAGAAACAGGGAAGGGTGGAAATTGAGGTGAGGCTGGCAACAGAGTAGACAGAGATGTGCGGGTGAGGTTCTAGCTGCAGAAATTCACGCCTGGCATTTGGGAAGGGGTGACCTGGGGCGGGGTCCTGCTTCCCACTTCAGTGGCTCCTGAGCTCTAAGCCTCCCCCATGGAACAAGCGGCAGCACAGAGTTCTTGGTGGAGGGCCGTCCTCTGGCCCTAACATGCAATGCAACCAGAGGCTGGGGAGTGGGAGGGAACAGCACTTATCTGGCACCTGGTATTTGCTGCTTAAATCAAATGGGCAAAGTCTCAGCAGGAGGAAAGCTAAAGCACCAGGCTCCATAGAGGCAGCTCTGAACCAGTGCCATCCCCGGAGTGCAGAAATGCTCACGTGAGAGGATGGAACTGTTTTCGTCTGTGTCAGGCCAGCAAAACAGACAAGCCCTTACTCATAGGTCAAATGGGCAGGGTTTTTACAAAATTTTAAACATTTTATTAATGGTGAAAGGTTTGGGAAAGTAGATACTTTTTTGGAGGGCATTTTGGCACAATCTGTCAAAATTTTAAAGCTAGCATTCTTGTTTCCAGGAATATATCCTGAAGATCTGCTTGCACAAGGACATGGAGTTGTGTGTGGAAGGACGTTCACGTGGAGTTCTTTGTAACAATCAAACCTGGACAGGACACCGGGCGGCACGCACGGCAGCAGGCTCACTGGGGGAGGGTGACGTGGCTCTGTGATACCCTGGGGTTCCGTGCACCTAACGAGGAATGCCCCGTCTTCTGGGCCCTGGGTGGTCCTGGTGAGCAGCCGAGGCCCCTGTCCTCATGCAGGGTTCTGGGAGACACTGAGATCCATGTGTATAAATAGGGGTGCTTTTCAGTTCCAGAGAAGACAGGAACTGCCTGCCTTTGAGAAGGGAGTTGAGAGGTCAGGTCCGGGAAAGAACATTCAATTTCTTTCTCTCTCTCAATTTTTTTTTTGTATGAGACAGAGTCTTGCTCTGTTGCCCAGGCTGGAGTGCAGGGGTGCAATCTTGGCTCACTGCAACCTCCGTCTCCCGGGTTCAAGTGATTCTCCTGCCTCAGTCTCCCGAGTAGCTGGGATTACAGGTGCCAGCCACCAGGCCCAGTTAATTTTTGTATTTTTAGTAGAGACATGGTTTCACTATGCCAGCCAGGCTGTCTCAAACTCCTGACCTCAAGTGATCTGCCCACCTCAGCCTCTCAAAGTGCTGGGATTACAGGCATGAGCCACTGTGCCCGGCCAATTTTTCTCTTTAAACCAATTTATATTGTTTGAATTTTCTACTTGAGCAGGCATTTCTTTAATAATTAAAAAAAATCTTCCTTAACATTTCTTTAAGGATCAGAGTCACCTATTACTGAACGTGCCATTATTCCTGTAATCTGCATACCCAGCTTTGTTCACGCTGTGTTTGAGATGGATTTGAGGCGCAGGTGTGATCTTCGTAAAAGTGGCACATAGGGCAGCAGAAAGGAAACCACTGCAAATCTCCCCAAAGGGCACGACCTTCACATCGTACGTGTGATGTTTGTATCTTCCCCTCCACCTCCTCAAGGAAGCTGAGGGACGCCGAGCGTAATGGGAGCCGTCAGCCGTGGAGACAGGTCCCACCCCGGTCTTCACTCCCCACAGAGGGACGGACTGCACCATCTGACTGCACAGAACGGGCCTCTCCTAAGATAATCTAATTGCTTGTATTTCTTTTTAAATGAAGCAAATAAAAATGAATGAGGTTGATTGGCTCTTTTGGGAATTTTCTCATGCATCTTTGGCGCAGGCATTCACCAGGAGCCACCGTGCCAAACGCCATCCTCTTTCCCCCAGTGAGGCCTGCCTGTGAATCTCAGGTGAAATAAGTAACTAAATCTTAAGATATTCATGTGCATGTCTAAAATGAAAATCTATATCTTACTGTGGATTCTAATTTTAAACATGGAAAACTGCTGTGGTCATCTATAGATGGGGCTGAAGGAGGCTGTGTGCTCCCTAATGTAAGTTTAAGGTGTTTCAACGCTGTCCCCAAACCTTTGAATTTCGTTAGGTTGGTACGATAGTTTTCAGCCTTTTTTTTCTAAACACAGGTGACGGGAGAAGCTGGTACCTGCTGCCATCGTAACCAGCCATGCCAGTTGGCTCTTGGCGGCACCATCCCAGCTAGGGTCCCGCAGACGCAGCCACTCACCTGCGGTGTGTGAGGAAGCTGCCGCTAACGTGGCCTGAGCCGTCGCACCCTGGTGTGGGGCAGGACATGCCTTCTGTCTTGACCGACTTCCAGGAGAACTGGGAGCCATTCAAGTACCCGTCTTTCTGCCTCTTGGCCGCCAAGGGGCACCCGGAGGCGCTGCGATGGGACGCGTACTTCCCAGTGATGTGACCCTGGCCATCGCACCCGGGGACCGGACACCTGCAGGCAGGCAGAGGGGACACACTTTATTGCCTGGCCACCATCGGCTGGTGGTCTCTGTAACAAAGTCAGGATAACCCGGCATGAGGAGGAAAAGAACCATGCCCTCCTGGCTGGGCAAAAGGAAAAGAAAAATAGAAAGAAAAGTCACTAAAAGACACCACCTAGTGGAAGACTGAACTAGTTCACCTGCGCAGAAGGCCTGACCCACTGCGGAGGGAAGGATTTTCTGGAACAAAGTGTATGTGCCTTGTGGGGACTGATGGGCTCAGCACACAAAAGACCATGCAGCCGCTTGCAGCTATACAAGCGTGTATTTAAAAGGCACCACTTTGGGACAGAACCATGGCTTTTCGGGTGGAAAAAATGCAAAGTCAATAAGATGTCGTGGCATTATTTTTAAAGAGGCTGCTTCGTGCTTTTCTCAAGGGCTAGAAGACGTTTGTCTGGCTGTGTCTTCCGGAGGCCTTAAAATGCCCTTCCAGCTAGAGAAGATACTCAGCTGTAGAGACGTCTCAGGAAGTCTCCTGGAGTCAGGCTGGCACATGGACACAGGGCAGGTGTGTTCCTGGGAACTTGGGAATGGCAGGACCAAGACACACGCCAGGGCAGCAGAGGCGCCTGAAGGAGGCAGGGCCTGGCCTAAGCGCTCCTCATGTGTCCTGAGTGGTGAGTTTGCCTGCATTGTTTTTATTAACAGAAAAGTTCGCGTTCCCCAGAATTTGCATTACCTATTTATTTTGACAAATCTTAATTTATTTGAATAATGTACGCTTTTATTTTGATTCTGTTTTAATTAAAATTTTTTTTCTGAAGATGTGGAGTGAGGTTTACTGTGTGGGTGTTTGGGGCCCAGGCATGGCTGACGTGGGATGGGGACAAACACCCTCTTGGGCAGCCCGTCGGTCGTCACAGGCCCCGAGCCCAGTGTCTGCTGTGGCCCCAAGCCCTGCTTTAGAGCAAGGCAGGTATAACTAAACTATTTTTACAAGCCAGAATACCAGTGAAGCATTCGCTTGTGGTGTTGTATTTAGTACTTTCAGGAGCGTTCACCAATCTGCTGTTCCCAGTAATTCAGCTGCTTTCCCCACCAAGCAGAGAGGGAAGGTGTTTTTGAGGGTGATTTGGGTTACCTGGAACCTCAGATTGATGGATATCAGCTTACTGCTGGACAGCCCCTGTAACTTTTCAGCCAATCAGCAGATGTGCTTTGCTTGAATGACTCATCCCCACACGGCAGCCCTGCTACGGTTCTCAGCCCCACTGGTGCTCGTACCTGATGGGCTCTTGATCTTCCTTATCTTCTTTGCTCTGTGCTATCCTGATACCGCTTTTCTTTGCTCTCGGGCAACCTGAAAGGCTAAATAAGAAACACGTTTCAGAAACCACCCCGCACCGTTGATTCCAGCAAGCTTTCTTAACGGATGAGGCTGTGACTCGATTCTTTCCGGAAACCTGTGCTTCTGGGTACACAGTCAAGATTCAGGAGCAGAGTTCTTTCCCTGTGTCCTCTCCAAGGCTTTAGGCACCGTCGGTCCCCTTTCAAGAAAGCCGGGAGACTGGGGTGGGCTAGGATGCTGTGAACGGGAGGGAAACTGGTTCACTGGGAGAGGGCAGAAGCAGTCAGGAGTCACCAGGAAAGATGCTGGAGGAGGTTTTGTTGACAGTGAGCGAGTGCACATGGACGTGTGCATGTCGGGGGTGAACATGACTGAGGAAAACAGCCTCCCAGCCTCATTCTTGGGGGCTCTGTCTCTCACAGCAGCTTCCCAAGCACTTCCATCTCAGGTTCGTGTCTTGGGAGACAGTGACGGGCTAGTGACTTATTCCAGGCTTCGGGTTGTGCCTGCAGATGGGAGAGGAGGAGCTGGACACGCTTATTTTATTTAATTTTCAGCCTCGGGTACAGAAGCTTTGGACATGCTTGTAAAGGGAATTTTTTCAGCTGGAACAGAAAAATATACATACATATACACCACATACAATAATATATAAAGTAAGTCGGATTTTTGGAAAAGAATTGAAGAACCAGAAATTGGGTAATCTCCTGCCATGCCATTGGGTCCTGTGGAAATGGCAGCCCTGGTGCTGGCATATGGGTGGGTCCAGGTGGGAGGCCGCTCTTCTCCCTGGCTTTCCTGAGCTCGGGGATAGTTTTCCTGGTCAGTTCTGATTCTTGGAAACATGCAGATTCCCAGGAGGAAGTGCTCACTCCCCTAAAGACAGGCTCCATCCCGCCTCCCAGGCCTTGGCCGTCCTCCTCCCTCTTCAGGTGGGGGCAGCCCCTCAGCACAGGCGGGTGGGGGAGGGTTCGGGGTTTGGGTCTGGGCAGGAAAGAGGTTGTCAGGCCCCACAGCGCCTTCACTCCAGGCCCCTGCTGCCCCAGCTCCTGGAGCCAGCGGGGAATCCCTCTGCTCCTTCCCCTGTCTCGCTCTTCACAGGAAGAGGAAGGAAGAGGCGAGGGCAGTTGAGCTCGCTGCCTGCTGGGGCCCTTCTTCTCCCCGCCTTCCTACAGGCAGAATCTGGAGAGAGGGGCCCGTCTGTGCTTCCCCCGACCTTTCCCTGTTCCTACCGCGGCCTCCTCCGCCCCTGCCCCAGCCTCTGGCTCCTGACTTGCCTGCAGGTCGCTGGGGCTCTGAGGCCAGCGTAGGTTGACTTCAGGTCCACCCCTGCACCCCCCTGACGCTGCAAAGCTGCTTGGATGCCCCAAAATTAGACTCATCGTCCACGTCACCAACCAAAGCCCCAGGCCAGCAGACGGAGTGTGTCCTTGCTGGGTTTTGCTTCCCTCAGGTTCCGTTGATGTCACACCCAAGGCCTCTCCCCATCTGTCCAGCTTCCGCTTCCAGCAGTGCTAGTGCAGGCCCCCTGGCTGGGATCACCTCCAGGCCAGCCTTTAGCATCATCCGAGGCTCTTCACTTCCTCAGGGGGACCCGAGTTCCTCCACACGGCTCGTTGGCTCCTCGAGGCCTGGCCCTGCAGCCATGTAGGCCCCTCTCCTGCCACAGGCCCCGCTGTCCTTGCTGGGCTCTCCCTGCAACCCTTGCCTCCATCCTTCGGACTGACCGATGTCCCTGCCTTATCTGTGGCGTGTTCCCAGCTGTGTGACTCTGCATCCTGCAAGAGGCCTGGGCCTGGCTGTCTTCACAATGTGACCGCTGCAGGCTCACGCGGTTCTGTCCTCTACAGGCTCCTCTGAGAGGCGATTCCTGGGAGTATAAACCATGCAAGTGTTTGTCCGCGGTTCCCCAATTCCTAGCCCAAAGCCTTGCACGGAGCGGGTGAATCAATGCATGAATGAAGAAAAGAGGAAAGAAGGGGAGAATTACGGTATCCTATCCAGGGACAATTAAAGTGTCTTACCCAGGGAGAATTATGGAGTCCTACCAGGATCCCATCTCCCCAGATGTAGGATTCCTGTGGGGCAAGCCCAGTCCCTGACCCCACCACACAGGCTGGGCTCCCTTAGGCCCTACCTGCTGCCCTGTCCCTGAGTCACTCCCTGCAGACTTGAGGGCCAGGGACAGCTCTTGGCCACCATGGAGGCCTGGGCTGGGGGCAAAGCTAAACCAAACAGAACAAATCCTCAAAAACAACAAGATTTGGCTCCGACGATGCGGTGGCCTCCAGGAAGCCTTGGCCTTGGCACAGGGGCTGCTCTAGACTCCTAGAATGCCAGCTCTGGGGCTCAGGAGCCCGTATCGGAAGCCATGTCTGTGGGTGAGAAGAAGCCCTGTGGTCTCCTTCTGGGGCGCTGGCCGAGGGCACCTGTGAGAAGCCTGCGCATGGACAGGCGTGGTCTTTACCTGCCCCCGCTCACTTGATGGGTAGCTCAGTGCCTGTGCCCCACAAGGTCCTCTTCCACACACCATAGCCCAGGGCCTCTGTCCATCCCTAGGACAGCAGGACCTAGCCTCCCCTTCAGCACTGAACTCCCACAGGAGTCCAGGGCCCCCAGCGGCCCCCTGTTCTCACTGTAGCATCTTAATGCATGGCTGGAACCTTTATGCTGCTTACTTCTTGCTACTTTTCATGCGTGATGAAAACAAGAGAACGTTTCCCTACCCACCCACTAAGCACTAGAACTCTAGGAGCAATGGAATTAGAACTTGTTCAGTATTTAAAACTCCCCTTATCAGCTTACAACATAGGATGGAAAGTCAGTACTTGCTACGGACCCCAGAGTGGAGATTCTCTACAGAATGACTATTTGTGAGAAGGATCTCAGCGGCCACTTCTTCCAGGCGTTGCGCTGAGGGAGAGAAGGAAGACGCGATGCTACGTATGGGCTGTGCAGACGTAGCCCGAGTGTCTGTGCTTCAGCTTCCTTGTCTGTATTTTGGGGCAGAAATACCTGCGTCATCGGCTGTGAAAACTGAAAGTGATAACATGATACATACAATGCTTGGCACAGAGAAGGAGCTCTGTGATTTTACATCCTGACTTTCACCTTTGTCTGCACTTGTGATCCCTTCTTTAGGGCCCAGATTTGAACCTAACAAAACATCACTCCCCTCATCTTCTCCTTCCAAATTTTAGAAACATAGGGATTCACTTGCGGGCCCTTCGCAAGCCCTGGAGGGAGGGGTGCAGTCACTCCTTTCCTGGGCGTCAGAGCTACGGCTCCATGTTCTGCTCAGGGCTCACATCCACAGCTCTTTTCTTAGGATTTGGATCCATCTTCTTTTTTTTTTTTTTTTTTGAGACAGAGTCTCTTGCTCTGTTGCCCAGGCTGGAGTGGTGCAGGGGCATGATCTCAGCTCACTGAAGCCTCCGCCTCCCCGGTTCAAATGATTCTCCTGCCTCGGACTCCTGAGTAGCTGGGATTACGGACTTGCACTACTACACCTGGATACTTTTTGTATTTTTAGTAGAGACGAGGTTTTGTCATGTTGGCTGATCTTGAACTCCTGGCCTCAAGCGATCTGCCTGCCTCAGACTTCCGCAGTGCTGGGATTACAGGCGTGAGCTACCACTGCGCCCGGCCACCATCTTCCGTTTCTGAAAGTGTCGTTTTCTTTTCGTGCATGAGTTGGAACAGCTCATCTGCTGATGACCCTGAAAGCTGTTTTTCTCCTCTCATCCTTCCTCCTTTGCTTACCTGAATATATCATAAGAATCCCAAAGTTAATGTGTTTAGACAGAATCTAAGGCCCACTCCTCCTGGTGGACTTCTATATGTCAGATGATGATGTCCCCCGGGTGCTTGCTGCATCCCAGGTCCTCCCTCTTTAGTGCCTGCCTTCTTCCCCAGGGGCCCCTCCCACTCCTGACCCTGCTGGTCACGGCCCCATTGCTGCTCTCCTCACCTGCACCAGCTCTTCTCCCGGCTGTCACCATCACCGCCCAAGTGTGCTCTTGGTACCTCCCGTCTCTCAGCAGCCTGCTCTCTAGGCTAAAAGCTAAGCCTGCACTTGGGTGGATATCCATTTTCCAGCAAATAAAGTTTAACCCCCTCATACTGAATTCAACCGGACTCCTAAAGCAAGTTCCATTTGTAGCTGCTCCCATAGGCTTAGACCTGAAACTGTTGCCAAGCTGAATTATTCACTGTCAAATGTGCATTAATGTTGGTGTCATAAGACGTTCTCTAATGCTGTTCCCTTGCTTGGAATATCCTTTTCTGCTCAACCTCCTAGAGACCCTCCCCATCCATCACACCATGGCTCAGCATCGCCTCCTCTGTCCTGGGCTCCGACTCACCCTGCCTCGTCAGAATTAAGACATGACTTACTCATTATCTTTAGGCTTTGATAAGTACAGACATGTTTGAAAAGTATCTTTCAGGTCGGATTCCCACCCTAGTGCCATCCTGGCCCGGAGGCCCCAAGGCCACTGCCCTGAGTGTGCGTCCTCTTGGAGCCCATCTTGGTTTCCCTTAAATGTGCAGGAATGTGCTGGAGTGCGCCAGGCTGGTTAGCTTTTATGTCCTTCCTCGTAACTACCTGTACCTCGAGGCTAGGAACGCCTTAGTTATTGCTGTTCCTTTGCCTCGGGGACAGATTACATACTCAAACAGGTATTTACTAATTTACTAGGTTTCTGGAATTCCACACTGACATTTGGGATTACGTTTAAATGATTAACAATTTCCTAGACAGAAACTGTTTTCCACAATTCACAGGGGCTCATGCTATGTCCACATCTTTATCTGGAACTTTGTAAATGTTGGAAATGCTATAAACACTTCAGAGCCCTGTGTTCTCTGGGGGAGGGAAAGGCTGGGGGTACGCACACGGACAGCTCCAGCGTAAGCACACGGACAGCTCCAGCGTAAGCACACGGACAGAGCACACGGACAGAGCACACAGAGCACACGGACAGAGCACACGGACAGCTCCAGCGTAAGCACACGGACAGAGCACACAGAGCACACGGACAGAGCACACAGACAGCTCCAGCGTAAGCACACGGACAGAGCACACGGACAGCTCCAGCGAGCAAGGGCCAACAACAGGTGAGTGCAGGATTATGAGAAACTGGAGGATTTGGGATCCCGGGAGACATGTGGTCAAGGGCAGTGAACCTCGTGGCCTCCAGGCCAAAGTGGTGCTAGAGTGGCTGTCTGGCCCGGAGCCCGGGGCAGAACACAGACTTCACCGACCCTCTGGTGAAACGGCTCTGCAGGCATGAGAGTGGATCCTGTGACCCTCCTGACCCTCTGACTAAACAGCTTTGCACCTGTGTGAGAGCAGATCCTGACAGGGTTGCACCAGCACCGCCTTCCAAGGTTCCCGAGGCTCCCTGGTGAGGAGCCGCCTCTCCGGATTTGGGCAGCAGGACTTGAGACCCTCCAAGGCAGACTCGCTCCTGGCTCTTCTGCATGACATCGAGCCTGTTTCTTCACTGTCTTCTTCAGGACCTGGTGATGTTTCATTTCACAGCAGGTGAGGCCTTTGGGGTCCCTGTTTAAAGTCCCCACAGCACACTGGGGTGGCAATGGGCAGACACGGTCCGGCCATTTGACTGCCATGCTGGAGGCTTCCATTTTGCGCATTATGGTAAAAGAGCAGAGTGGAAGTGCTCCGGGTGAGTGCAGGCGCTGACAAGACGGGCAGCCGAGCATCTCCGTGCCCACGCACCTCCATTTGCAGTCAGGATACCAATGATCTCACAGGATGCTGAGATGATACATGTAAAATGCTCACTGTAATTTCTGGTATGTAGCAGGTGCCCAGTAAATGTTCTTTCGTGATTAGATGCCATTCAGGAACTGTAGAGGCCACAGGGTGCTCTAGTGGGAGTTGGATTCCTGGAGCATCATAATTTGTGGAAAATGTGGACTTGACTTCTGCGTTGGAACAACTTCAGGGCCTTTGGAGCTCTTGCTGCTTGCCTGATCCTATGAAAAAGGCATGTGGGATGGCTGGACAGAGAGAATGAGGAGCACCCCTGGGCAGGCCTGTCTGGCAGGACCCGGAGACTACAGGTGAAGGAGAGGGCCTGTGGGCGGTGGTCGGAGAAAAGAGCAAAGGTGTCTGGAAAACAGGATTTTGAGGACACACTTAAGAAACAGTCTGTTAGTTTGAAAACGAGAGTATAAAGAGGAGCCCCGTGGATGACTGTGAATGACGTGGAAGACTTTGTAGGCATATGGTCAACAGGGCCTCTGTTCACTGAGGACAGAGAGTCAGCAAAGCAGCGGATAGAGGATTGTTTGATAGAACATCATAGTCAATGAACATTTGTTGAAATGGACTTACGGACATTTCGGATGCTATGTGGAGGCTGGAAAACACCACCGCTAAGAGGCAGGTACAACCCCGCCTTCTCCAGGTGGTTTAGGCACACACACTTTCTCCAGGGCCATCCTAGGCCCGTGGGGCTGCCTGGAGGTGGGACTTGGAGTCAGATGACATGGGCTCGAGTGCAGCTCTGCTACTGTATCTCCTGGCCCCTCAGTTTCCGCAAATTCAAAAGTTAATGAAATTGCTAATTCTCAGCGCATCCCTGGAGATGGTGGAGGACAGCTCCTTGCCTAAGTTCCCAGAACGGGCCCAGCAGAAGGCCAGGGCTTGGCCTCACTTTTCCCTCAGAAGGGAGCTGGGAATACTCTGTAACTGCAGACAGAATTGGAGTGTGTGCTTTTGTCCTGGGAGCCGGAGGGAGAATTCCAGATACCACAGATGCGCGAGGCAGATCTGTGCTCTGAACACGTTCAGGATCATTGTTTGGTGACTTTCCCTCTCACAACAGCCCACAGTGCGGGAAGAGGATGCCTTGAACTCACACAACTACCTTGAATTATGGCACGATTGAGGGAAAAAGGTGGCCAGGGAATCATCATCTAAGTGAAGTTTGCCTATACGTAACATTATCTTCCTGTTCCTGGGAAACAGACAATAGAAGATTAACATGAAAAGAAGTTCCTTCTACTTGCGTTTCTGGCCACCAAGAGCCAACAGACCTGGGGGAGTTTCCTTGTTGGCTTCTGTCTGTCTTCAGCAGCCAAATACACAGAACTGCACTTGTTTCGCTGGGGCCTCCATCTTCCTTTAGCGGGGACTTTTCTTCTGAGCAACGTGCTCAGCCCTGTTTAGATGTCTATGCCAGGGAAGCTGTTACTAGAACAAGTAATGTCACAAGGTGTTCCGCCTTCAATACGCTAAAACCCCGAGAGGCCTCTGCCTAGGTCTCAGATTTTCCAAACACAAATCACACTTACTTTCCAACTCTATCGACTTACCCTGGGATTATTTATTCCAGGCATAGATGGTAGCTTAAATTTGAGCTTAGATTAGATTTTAATCATGGGTTTGTGCTATATTAATACTTAGCAGTCTAAGATATATGTAAAATGAATAAAATGTTTAAACAACATGATGACTAAATTTACATGATGACAACCCCCACCAAAAAAAATGAGAAGAAAAACAGACATTTGGACACGAAGTGACCAGGAAGTGTTCACCTTACGGGGCGCTGACATTATGCCACGCCAGAAGCTCTGGCCATGGGATAGGACCGAGTGCTGACACTATGCCACGCCGGAAGCTCTGGCCATGTGATAGGACCGAGACATCGCTTTTCTAAGATGAAATAAAGACCAGCATGGAATGTTCTTGTCTTTGTATATTTAATTGGAATTTTACAAATTTTTATTTAATCTAAACCAGTGATTTAATTCTGGCAGTCTTGCTGGATGGCGTGACTCACTCTTGTTCTACCAAACGTGGTGGCTGTTTCTGTGCTGCCTGGTGAAGCTGCATCAATGTAATAAGCCTCTGCTGCCCCTGGTCTGTGGCAGTCGTCCCCTCAGGGGACACTCAGCAATGACTGCAGGCATCTGTGGTTGTCATGAATGGGTGGATGCTCCTGGCATTTGGTGGGTGAGGACCAGGGATGCCGCACAGGTCCCGTGGTGTGGAGGACGGCCCCCATGGCAAACAGCCATCTGCCCCCACATGCCAGCACTGCAGAGGCTGAGGAATCTGGGTCAAGAGCGTGAGACATTGGCACTGAGTCTGAAGAATCCTCCCCCAAGTTGTAGACTTCATTTTTCCTTGGTGGCATTCACAATTTGTGCTTTTCGTAGACACGTGCTGTTTAAACATAGCTCTCAAATGACTGGGATGTGAGCACAGGAGCAAATTACTTTCAGTGAGATTTTAATGACAAAAACAATCATCCTGTGAGTGCTGTTTCTAATCCAAAATGCCAGCCAAGTCAGGCGAGGGTCCCTTCCTCTGACCACCGGGATCTGGTCACTCAGGGACAGACAGTGGGTTTCACTCAGCGACTCTGTGCAGACAACCTTGCCCTGGGGGGCGGGGGGGGTCATTATCCATGGCTGACACTCTCTTTAACTCTCCTAGCTTCCTTTCTCTCCCTCTCTCCCTCCCTTCCTTTCCATTCCCTTCCCTTCCCTTCCCTTCCCTACCCTTCCCTTCCCTTCTCTCCCCTCCCCTTCCCCCTCCCCCTGCCTTCCTGCCTTTCCTGCCTTTCCTGCCTTTTCTCTCTTTCTTTCTTTTTTCTTGCAAGCAGTATGTTAAAAGCAGGCCTCACCTGCTTCTGGACTGCCTACTTTATAATCTAAAATTTAGAGAGATGAAGGGGAGCAGATATCGTACAACTTAGTTTATTTATTTGATAGATGCAGCATTGTTTTCCCATATGGGGAGACTTCACTTTAAATCGGTCTTATTTCAGAAACATTCTTGTCCTTACCTTGGCATTGGCTGTTGGTACATCTAAATGTGACTTAAACATTCATGGCATGTAGTGGATTTGCCTTCGAGTGGACAATATTTTCACAAAGGTTTTCTTCTTGACCAAAACTTTAGTTGAGCTCCTCTGGGTCCTTTACTAGAATGCACCCAACCTTGACTTCCCTCTCTGTCCTTGTAGGGTCCAGTTTGAGCAAGAATCCTTCTAAATCAGTTTAAGAACAATTCCCCACCACCTGTCTGAGCACTTGGAGGTCCTACCACCCTGGCCAGCCATCAGCAATGATCCCATCAAGTCCATTGGCCAGAAATCCCTTCTCCTTGATGCTTCCTGTGGGGAATTTTGCATCCACTGACCCCAACCTGCTCCCCACTTGTCCTCAATGGGGTTCGAGTTGAGTCCAGTCTCTCTGACTGCAGCAGCTCATTGCATGGCCCCTGGACCTCTTGCCCTGCCCACCCTCCTTGAATGGTCTGATGTACCGTCTTTAACAAGTGGTGAACTTTTTCTCGAATAGTACCACAATTTCTTTCCATTCTCGGCTAAATAGTGCCTGTCCTCAATTCCACGTTCATCCAGTGGTTACTGAATGTCCAGTAGCATAGAATTTTTGTTATCTCACATGACCAAATCTCTATATTATATTTTGGACACTATCCTCTCTTTGGGAGAGACAGTGCCTAGACTTTGTAACATTAAGTGCTTCTGTAGCACTTAGCTCTACTGAAGCCTGCTTAGAATAACTGTACAGCTTTGTGGTCCAATCTTAATATTTAAGAGACCAACTCTCAGTGGTATTAGAATGTGTGTCTCTTGATGGCTTTTCTCGGGAATCTTACAGTAGATACTGTTCTTTTTCCTTTACTCTTCCAATTTAGAAAGAAGTGCTGCTGGATGACTAGGAATGTTTCTCAGTGGGGCTACTTGGCACTGCACGTGAAATGTCCTGAGAGGAGACAGTGGCCCCGGAAAAGGAAGGTTTGCTTTCTAAGAGAAGCTCCAATGAGGACGTCACTGCTTTATGGTGCTAAGAGTCTCTAGATCCCTAATTTTGCCGATGGTGTCAAACTTTGCAAGGCTTGGAGCCTGAAGTGAGTGATATTCCCACCATTTCAGTGAGAAGGAGCATTTTGGAGAGAAGAGTAGCATCTCTACATACCTCCGATGAGAAGCATAATTGCCAGTGATATGTCCAGAACCGTCACAGCCAGGTGTGGGGCACCTACAATCAAAAACGCAAATTGTGTTACAATTGAAAGGAATAAAATTCCCTGAAAAATTAACTATTTTTTATCCAAAAAGCAAAGTAACTCTACTGCTTCACCTCCTACTTGAAAGAGGCTGAGTGGAGCTGGAAGTCACCGTGGCCACACGCACACCTTCCAGAGCACCGGGAGCTTCGTGGCCGCTCCGCTCCCCACAGTCTCTGGAGCAGATGCTGCACTTTTGGTCCCCAGGCTGCTCATTCTAGAATCTGTCTTCCCTCCTAACAGCCCACCTTTTCTCCCCTCATTCTTAAAGCTCAGGAGAGCCAGCAACCACGGGGCTTGTTATTGCACCAGCCAACGCGTGAAGCGAGGCTCACACATGAACAGACGTGCCCCGAGGTCTGAGAGAATGGTCTTAGTCTGAACTCAGACCCCAGCACTACAAAGTCTCCCCTTCCCTGGACTGACCAGGGCTGCGGCCAGCCTGGGTGGCCCCAGGGAGCAGTGAGGGTAGCGACCTGTATCTGGACCATGGGAATGCAGGCCGACCGTCTTTCCGACAACCACTGCACTCAGGCAGGTTTGATAGCCCTTAAAATAGTTGTTACTCTTGAGCAATATGAGTAGAACATAAATCAGTTCAGATCCACCAGGTCAGTCAGTGGAGAGCTCTGAACAGTTCACGGGGACACATGCTCATCTACTGAATTCTACCGAGGCGACCCCATCCTGTTTCTTAATTAAGGTCTTGCCATTTCTCTAATCAGAGACTTTTTTAAAAAGAGCTTTATAATTATATTGCCCTCCGTATAACTTCTTAACTGTGCTGTCTCAAGAATAATAAGATAGCACTGCAAACACACTTGTACTTTGGGCTATTTCAGTTGCATTTGCACCCACCATGAATGTAAAAATTAAGAAAAAATTCCCCTTTATTTCTATTACATTTGTAACTCTCCAAAAATGACAAGGATAAAGCAACTTAGTGAGCAATATTACCCCAGTAGGAAGCATCAAAGCGTACTCCATGCCCCTTCCTGCCTCAGTGAGTACCTGAATTCTTGTCAAGATCAAGAATCACAATTTAAAAACAGTTAATACATGTCTGCTGCTCCTAGAGATTTCAATTTGCTTTCCACTCAGAAAGTCACTGTGGATAGGATATTGGGGCTGAGACCAGGACAGCAAGGCGCTTACTTAAGGTGGGCTTTCTCAAGATCAGAGGAGAACGGCAGGGATTAGAGTGGAAATACATGAAATTGGCCGAATTTTAAGTGTATGAATGTCATATTTTGACACTTGGATGTGTAAATGGTTTTCAGTACTCTCCTTAGTCCTAAGAAAGGGAACAGAACTCTAGATCTCAGGGTATAGAAATGGATGTTTTCCATATCATATCAGAGGAAAGGTCTAATTGAGGACCTGCTCCCGGGAGAATGAGGGTCACTGAGTGAAGCAGCAGTGGAGGGTTCTTCTGTGTGCTCCCATCACCGCCCTTCAGACTAAGGGTAATTGGGTCTTTAAAAGAGGAATTTGAGGCAGAACAGTGATGAAGTATTTCAAACAGTCTCTGCATATCATGAACAACACTCCAAATCCAATTGTTAGACCTGATTTTTGTTCAAGTAACAGCTGTTTACATACACTTAAAGTTTGATCATAAGACTATTCAGTCAGTTGCTAAGTAATTATTGTCTAAAAATTAAATTAAATGACTGAACTTAACTAGCTGGTTTTTCAAATGACACCTTATGTAGGTAAACTCCAAACCCATAAGCTTACACAGGAAGGCATATTTGAAAGCAACAAAAATCATTCTATCCAAGAGAAGCTAATCTTGGTGCATGTATCTGTATTAAAAATGTACCAAGAAACAGTAATATATACTTGGCATTACTTTTTGCTTAAGAAAAGAAAAAGATTCTTAAACTTTCTAATTCAAGTACGTAGTGCACGTTTATTTAAAATTTATTCATTTTAACATGGCTAAACATTTTTGAGATGTTCTTTTTTGTTGGGGCAGAAGGAAGTTGACTCTTCTCAAGTTTAAAGTGAGACATTATAGCCAAATAATTCAGTGAAAATCATATTTTTACTACCTATAAACGTTTTTGTGGTAGTTTTTATGTGTTTAAATGTCATTTATGAATGTATAATCCATTGTTTGATAAGAAAATAGGTGTTTTAACCAGTGATTGTGGTAACTTAATGTCCTGTCCAATACTTTTATTGCTTGGTTTATATGTCCTTCTTGTTATTGATAACGTGCCTTTTAAAAAAGTTTATTAATAACTCCCAATTTATATCTTAAAAAGTTAAAGAACACTGGATGTATACAATTTTGGGAGGGTAGAATAAAACAACTGATGGCTCTTGCTGCATTTCTGGGGTGGGATGGGTTGTGGGAGAACCTGAACTACTTTGAAAACAGTAGATTTCAGTATAAATACAACTCACAACCGCTAGCATTGAGGGTGGTGGGGGGACACTGTGTGGGTTTCGTTTTATTTAATTTATTAATTAGTCTTTAAATTAGGGCTTTTTTGAGATTACTGGACCATCATTAAATGTGATTATGTAAAGAGATTAATGATACATAGGGAGGGCTCCACCAAAGTCCACTAAATAAGCATTACTCAAGTGCAGACTGCAAGCTCAAATGTATCTGTGTTATGAGATTAATTGCAAATAGCAAGTGTGGTGCTGAAGTCTACACCAGTGGGATTATGAGTGTTACGCCCTTAATTTTAAAATCAAACTAGGTTTCAGTAAAAAAGTTTTTAAAATGTCCTCTTTCATCATGAGAACAAACAAAACGAGATTGACTTAGCTTATTTTTAGAGCTTTCACCGTGTTGAGGAAGAAAAAAAATCACTGGAAAGAGGCCTTTCTCTCTTAAAAGGATTGTTCTCATTTCCAGGGTTTGGAGGTGGGTGTGTGGGGCGAGCATCCCAGGCATGCCACTTGCTAGTCGCCTGAATGAATGTGGGGAAACTCTTTGGCCTGACAAGGCTCACAGGCCTCCGGGGCCGGACGTCATCTCCTCCTGAGACGCCTCCGCCCACCTGCACAGGCTCCTGTGAACGCCACAGTTCAGGCTGCCCTCAACGTCAATTCCCATCCCCAGCGCCCAGGGCAGAGACATGCTGGAAACACTGGCTGTGTCTCCCTGAGATAACCAGCCCCGGTTTTCGGGGTAGTAATTCAGCTTTTCCATCTTTAGGTGGTGCTTCTAGACCACAGAAGGCAGCCCTGACTGGCTTTTCAACGGTTCCTCCTTCTAACCGCTCTTGGTATCCATTTTTATGTTACTGTGCAAGAATTTAAGGCTCTTTAAAAACTCATAGATTTACATACAAATTTCCTAGCTTTAAGAAATCTCAACATTAAAAAAAAAAAAAACAATGTTCTGAAGTCGATGGATGGGGAAGTGACTGTTCATCTAACAAAAGGGATCTTCGCCTCTCAAACCCAGTCAGCTCCAGCATCCTCGACAATGGGCGTGGCGTGAAATTGATTTGCAAACATGCGATTTGCATCTGCCCATCTAGGAGCACGCCTTTTCCACGAAGGAAGCCCGGGTGGGACAATCGGCATCCCCCGTGGATTGAATCAGACGGCAGCCTGTGCTGCACAGCTTGGGTTTGGAAATGGCAGAAGAGATTGACTGGGTTTCCATGGAAACGGCCTCAGCTCCCTTGCAGGGAGGCTCCGGCTCTCAGCGCCGCAGCACTCAGGCTGCTGGGAGCGGAGCGGGGATGGAAAGAGCACCACTCACCCAGCGCCCCGCCTGCTCTCCTGACAGTTACCACCAACAACAGCAGCAAGGCTGTTTTAAGTTCTTGTAGATGGTTAAGGTGTAAACTTGCATTAAATAAAACGCTGGGTTATATATACATATGTATATATTTTCTTTTCTCTTCCAAAGATACTATTGTAAAAACAACTGGAGAAAGAAAATGATGAACAAATAATCTCGAAACCCACACGAGCCGCCCCACGGATATTTTCAAGACACAAATATTCCTGATCTTGCTTCATCTCTGGTCATGGGTTTGCCTGAGATTAAGAATTTAAGAGAAAAGAAAAAAGAAAAAGAATTTAAGAGAAAATAACTTTTGGTTGTACATATTAAGAGAAAATAACTTTTAGTTGTACATATTACTATCATTTGTCTTGTATAGACATTTAAGAATGGTGATGGAAAAAATCATAATAAAATAAATAAAGTATTTTAAGCAGTATTTACATTAAAGCCGACATGCAAAATTCAGGCAAATTCTAAACAAAACAAAACAAAAGAAAAACACCCAAGCAACAACAAAAAAACAAAAAGTAAAAGACAGGGACACTCATAAGCATTTGGAACTCTGACTTTAGGGCAGGAGCCCTTCTCAGATAGAAACAGCTGCTCCTGTTGCTTTTGCAGATCTGAGGCATCAGAGAAACCCTTGGACTTGACCCCTTGCCCCTTTGTGCTCCTGGCCTTGTCTTTACTATCCACCACCAAAGAGAAAAGCTCTGTGAGACTACGTAAAAAGCAGCATTGGCCACACGTCCATGGAGGTCATAGATGTGTCCCCTAACGTAAAAGAAGAACTCAATATCTAGGCATTAAAATACATCATCATAAAAAATCATATAGTTTTCCACTGGTGCACGCCACGCAGCTGGGACACCCACCAACTGGCTTTTCAGATGCCCTCTGATGCGTCCTTCCCAGGACATAAACCCACTGCTGTGCTGATTTCCTCCCATTTACAAAACCACAACCTGAAGCAGGGCGGTGTACACGAAACAGCTGTGTCCACCGACTGAAGCTGTTCTGTAGCCCAGTCATTCATATAAATGTCTTGAAAGTGCTCCCTCTGGAGTCTGTCATCCCATCCTCTCTCTTTCAAAAGGAAATAGAATGGAAATTAAATAAAAGCTTGCAGTTCTATTCAGCAAGGCACTGAAAGCAGGACATGCTCTTCAGGATGTGGCTACGTCGAGTTAAATGAATGCTCACAGC